GGGGGGGGGGGGGGGGGGTGCATTTTCTTTTCCTGGAGGTGTCCTAAACTTCGTTGCCCCTTTCAAATTAGAGCAGTGATGATGTCCAACTACATTGTTTTGATTGATACTTCTTGGTGGAGGTAGATGACACGAGTATTTATCTGACCTTATGGCCTTTTTTTTTTTCCCCCTACTAAAACAACTGAGTTTTGCTTGTTTGAATGGATGATTATTGGTGGCTAAAATAAACTCAACTCTGGACCAAGCAACAAAATGTATCATCCCAACTTGCAGAACTAGCACCCTCATCGTCAAACTTAGAGGAAAATCTCATGTTAATATGGGAATGTCACAAATTCGACATGAACTATGCCAAGCATGTGCGAGTCTTTTTTATTGTTTGTTAACTTTTTGGTCAACCAGTGCTTGGTCGGTGAAACGAGTACAATGACAAGCCAGATCTATCGCCCAAAATCACTGTTGTATTGGTACCATGGTCCATGTACGGTCATATTGGTGTTGGATTCTTGGATTCTCTTAGGGCTCGGCAACGGGCCGGGCCGGGATTTTTCAGCCTATAGTCCATCCGTGGGCCGGGCCTCTGGACTTTGACTAGTCAACAGACGGGCCAGATTGGACCCCATATGAATTTGTGAGGCCCATGGACCGTCTATTGGCCCAAAACGAACTTTCTATTAAAAAATTATTTTTTATGTAAAAAAAATACAAAAAGAAATTGAAATATTTTTTTTATATAAAAATTAAAAAATGAGAAATTTTAGGGAGAGTTGGAAAGAAAAATTAAATTGTGGTGAAAAAATAATGAAAGTCTTGAATATATTATAGATTTTTTGGTCGAGGGTGGGTTGTGTAATTTTTTTAAATGAATAATTAGTTGTTGGTGACTTGAGAGGGGAGAGAATCTGTAATTTTATTTAAAAAATGGAAATAACCGTTAGACTAAAGACAATTAACTATTTGGGTTAGGGGAAAACTATATTTATTTTAAATTAAATGAAAGTCTCTAAAGGGGGGAAGAATTTGTAAATTTTTAAAAGAAATGAAAGTTGACCGACTGTCCGCAACAATTATATTCCATTTCCAATGAGTATATTCTATTGGGCTAGCAGGCTCGTTAACAGGGCGCCCGCCGAGCCCTAGGCTCTAAAAAACACAGCCCAAGCCTTACTTGTCGGGCTAGCAGGCTATCCAAGCCCTTCCATGTGTACGGGCCGTGGACGGCCCATTGGACTTTAGACTTTCTTGTGAGGCCTTCATTCTCTTTTATTATTACCTATCGTATTACATACTATCCAATTATTTTGCTGCTAATACCCATTTTTAATTAAATCTTTTCCTAAACTGTTAAAAAGGAATAGATGAATGAAAGTGTTCGAGAATAATAAGCGAGTTTCATAATACGCCAAACCTCAGTCGAGCACAACTTTTTTGTCTTTCTTGGGACTCCTCTTCTGCCGTGACTCACTTATTTGCTGATCACGAAACTCCCCTTTGTAGAAAACCTATTTTCATTAGAATAATGACTTCTTACTTGTTATTGATCTGACCGTTTTCTAAGCCATTGACACTGTCACAACTTGGTACTTTTATGGCCACAAATTTTAAACTTAATAATAGCATAAACCATATATTTACTTTCTCTCAATTTAATTCAATACTAAATTACATGTAATAATTTTTAGTGGGACCTACTATTTATAATTAAGTCCTGTATAAGATGAATAATTTATCATTAAATAAAATTATGTAAAATTATAAAAAACAAAATCTAGATCGAACCATATTGATAGTTTTATAAAATTAGTATTACATCCATCTACTTATTAATAAATGAATTAGATTTGATAATTTGACTATAATTTAATCTATTAGAATCAATCAAACAAATAAATGACCGTATTAGGAATTATCAAATCGGTTGGTCCCCCTGGACTGAGAGCCTATCTTTTAGCCCTTGTTTGGCAAAAAAGAAACGACAAGAAAAGAATAAAAGAAACGTTGAAAGTGTTTATCCATTTAGAAGATGCTAGAAGAGCCTAGTCAGCCCAAGTCCTATACTATTACTCGCCATTTTTAGTATTCGAATCAGGACAGTAAAAAGCACCGAGCGAAGAACCAAGGGTTTTCTTTTCACTCAAACCCTCGAAATTGCTATCGCTATTCAGCCCAAGACGCCATGGACGCGGCGAAACTGAATCAATTGAAGCACTTCGTCGAACAGTGCAAATCCAATCCCTCCATTCTCAGCGATCCTTCTCTTTCCTTCTTCCGAGATTACCTCGAGAGGTATACACTTTCACACACATATAGCAATGCTATTGATAGTTGGATTATTTATTAAGTTATTAATCTTTTGATTTGTTTCAGTCTCGGAGCGGAACTTCCTCCATCTGCTTACGAGTCTGGAGATTACAAATCGGTACTTTTCTCAATATATTTTTTAATAATTTCGTTGATACGTTTGGCTGCTGAGAAAAGAAAGTAGAAAAACTTTCAGTTGAAAATCTCTTGTTGATTGTGACATTACGGAACTCCAATGAATTCAAACACAACTCAATGGTTGTTTGTCTACGGGTATGTGTGTGCGTGTGATTTTAAAGCAATGGATGCTGCCATTTCTTTTCTCAATCTCCCAATGAAGGAATAAAGTTCGGGATTAAGGGTTAGGGTTTAGAATGTACCAAGCGAAATTGGATTAATTGTGTCCTAATTTTGAGCAAATTTTTGTTTCCCGAATTTGCGTTTTTGGTGAACAGAAGTCTCATGTGGTAGATGAGAGTGATGACGACATGCAGGACACTGAGGATGATGCGCAACCACAAGGGACTGCTGCTGAAGAAGATGAGCCCGAGATAGTCGAATCTGACATTGAGCTTGATGAGAGTGGAGTTGTGGAGCCTGATCATGATCCTCCACAAAAGGTCTCATTGATCCATATTGCCCTTTTTGTTTACTTTGATGCTGATATTTTTTATTGCAGCTGGTAAAATCTTGACATTGAAATTTGCAGATGGGAGACTCATCTGTTGAGGTCACTGAAGAAGACCGGGATGCTTCACAAGAGGCAAAAGCACAGGCCATGGAAGCAATTTCTGAAGGTAATGCTGCTTGTATGTGGACGGGTTTAATAAACTTGTTTCTCTGTGTGTGTGTGAGTGTGCATATGCATATGCATATTTGCTCATGGAATTTGATTTGTGTTGATCAGGTAACCTGGAGGAAGCGATTGAGCATCTCACAAAGGCCATTTTGCTCAACTCTACATCAGCAATCATGTATGCGACCAGAGGTAAAGCTTGTTCTTTGAATTTCTGCAGTGATACCATATGTGATTAATCTGGCTATATTTGTTTGCTAATATTCTTGTCTTTAGTATTCACTTGTGATTCTTCAATGCAATGCAGCTAGTGTCTACATCAAGATGAAGAAACCCAATGCTGCTATCCGAGATGCCAATGCAGCTCTTGAGGTTGTTTGCGTTATACTACATGTGCTGGCTTTGAAAATTAACTGTTTCTTTTGCTTGTTGTAATCGTATATTCTTACTTATATGCCTAATTAGGTTTGGTCGTGGAATCTATTGAATCGATTGAATTAAACTGCATGCATTCGACCATGTTCCATCAAAAGTAGCATAATTATTAGCATGATACATATGCATCGACAAATATGGGCATGCATAAAATGTTATACAAGGATTTCAAGCATTCTTCGTGTCTTTGATTCAGCATCCAGATATGAGGTATTTAGATTGCCATTTTTTCATATGGTAGAGCGTTGCCTGCATATATCCTTCTGGATAAAGTGTTGACCCATTTATGCTTAAATTACCAAGACAAGACTTCCAACTTCCAAGACATCCACAAATCTGTTTTTTTAATATTTGTTTAGTGTCTTTAACGTAGTTGCAATATGATACTTTTCAGATTGGGATCTTATACGATTTGTAATGCTTACTGCAGATTAATCCAGACTCTGCTAAAGGTTACAAATCTCGTGGCATGGCACATGCAATGCTTGGCCGGTGGGAAGAGGCTGCAAAGGATCTTCACGTAGCTTCAAAGCTGGACTATGACGAGGAAATAAGTGCTGCGCTTAAGAAGGTAGGTCTTGATTATAATTTGAATAAGACAATACGTATACAAAACTGTCATTATGTTGTGGGCTTCGATTATCGGCGATCAAATTGGTTAATGACGTTATGTTGTGGCCTGTAGGCCTTTCTTCTTTGATGTCTCAATGCAACAAGGTGAAAATGTCTCAATAAAAATAAAATAAAACATAAGTTAGAGTTGCTGAAACTGTGTTAGACTTGAATATGCTTTAGTTTGGTGAGATAAAAAAAATACTGTACTGGGATCAAAATTCTTGCATTTGTCACAAACATTCTTACAACTCACATCTACCCTTGGTTTACACAGGTCGAACCTAATGCACACAAAATTGAGGATCACCGTAGGAAATATGAAAGGTTGTCCAAAGAGCGAGAGGATAGAAAGATTGAACGTGGGAGACAACGTCGTCGTGCCGAAGCTCAGGTAAACTTTATTTGTTGTGGTTGTTACTGTGTGAGTGATCTTCTGGTGTGACTGATCTTTAGGTGTGCTTACTGTACTAGGCTGCTTATGAAAAGGCTAAAAAGCAAGAGCAGTCATCATCATCTAGAAGACCTGGTGGCATGCCAGGTGGGTTCCCTGGTGGAATGCCGGGTGCCTTTCCTGGGGGCATGCCTGGAGGGATGCCTGGAGGCATGCCCGGAGGCTTTCCTGGGGGCATGCCCGGAGGTATGCCTGGAGGGATGCCTGGTGGTATGCCTGGTGGTATGCCTGGTGGGATGCCCGGAGGTATGCCTGGAGGGATGCCTGGTGGTATGCCTGGTGGTATGCCTGGTGGGATGCCCGGAGGTATGGACTACAGCAAAATATTGAATGTAAGTCTGACGCCAATTTGCTTCTATTATCTGTTTTAAGATTGTGATATATAATAATATTGTTATTATTATTTTCATGTATTATTGCTGTGTGGTTCTTGAACACTACTTTATAGCCACGTTTCTTGTTCGGGGATTCACTTTTCTATGGGTGGTTTGACATCATCTTTTTTTTGTTGATTGGAGCAGGACCCTGAGTTGATGGCAGCGTTTCAAGATCCAGAGGTCATGACTGCCCTTCAAGATGGTATCATTTTCTGTTCTGATATTTTCTGCTTGCTTTGGCTGTAACATGGTTATTCCTAGTTTATTCTGCCATTTTAGCAGTTGAGTTAAGCTCTTTTTTAGTTGTATTAGGCGTTTCTCTTGGATAAGTCTCTTGCTTCAAAGTGGGAGAGAGAGAAGGAAGAGAAAAAAGGGTGAGAGGGGTGAGGGGGTGGTAAATAGTGAATTTTCACAAAAACCTATGCAGGAAAGACAGCCTGATCTTACATGTGGGGAATCTGGGATGGTAAAAAAGCTTCAGATAGTAATTTGATACGGCGCCTGGTGGCATGTTAACATAGAATAAAAGCAGAGGTCATGGATACGTATGCAGTTAGTGCTTGCTAAATTTATTGTCATCAACTGATCTGTGTTCATGGTATTGCTTTCGTTTTGCGTTGTAGCGATTCTCATTTTGTAGCTTTTGCTGAAAAACCTAGATTTTATATTCTTTCTAGTTGCATATAAAATAGGATGGGATGTAGTTTATGTGGAAGCCTACGTGCATTTGTATGTGTTTGTATTGCCACAGTTGATGAACGTGATTGCTTGTATTTTGTAAATCTGCCATTACAATAATCGAGGCTTAAACGGGCACCATATGTGGACTAGGTAGTACAACAACGGGTCTTTCAGTGGAGATGTCTTCCAATGGGTCCTTGGTGAAGCTTGCTTCATTTTGATGCCCTTCAGCAGCTTGTCACTAACTTTAGTCCCATATTTGGTTGCTACTTTATCGTAGGCTGCCCTATTATTTAGATTATAACCCCAATTGCAATCTTTCTTGCTGTNGACTACAGCAAAATATTGAATGTAAGTCTGACGCCAATTTGCTTCTATTATCTGTTTTAAGATTGTGATATATAATAATATTGTTATTATTATTTTCATGTATTATTGCTGTGTGGTTCTTGAACACTACTTTATAGCCACGTTTCTTGTTCGGGGATTCACTTTTCTATGGGTGGTTTGACATCATCTTTTTTTTGTTGATTGGAGCAGGACCCTGAGTTGATGGCAGCGTTTCAAGATCCAGAGGTCATGACTGCCCTTCAAGATGGTATCATTTTCTGTTCTGATATTTTCTGCTTGCTTTGGCTGTAACATGGTTATTCCTAGTTTATTCTGCCATTTTAGCAGTTGAGTTAAGCTCTTTTTTAGTTGTATTAGGCGTTTCTCTTGGATAAGTCTCTTGCTTCAAAGTGGGAGAGAGAGAAGGAAGAGAAAAAAGGGTGAGAGGGGTGAGGGGGTGGTAAATAGTGAATTTTCACAAAAACCTATGCAGGAAAGACAGCCTGATCTTACATGTGGGGAATCTGGGATGGTAAAAAAGCTTCAGATAGTAATTTGATACGGCGCCTGGTGGCATGTTAACATAGAATAAAAGCAGAGGTCATGGATACGTATGCAGTTAGTGCTTGCTAAATTTATTGTCATCAACTGATCTGTGTTCATGGTATTGCTTTCGTTTTGCGTTGTAGCGATTCTCATTTTGTAGCTTTTGCTGAAAAACCTAGATTTTATATTCTTTCTAGTTGCATATAAAATAGGATGGGATGTAGTTTATGTGGAAGCCTACGTGCATTTGTATGTGTTTGTATTGCCACAGTTGATGAACGTGATTGCTTGTATTTTGTAAATCTGCCATTACAATAATCGAGGCTTAAACGGGCACCATATGTGGACTAGGTAGTACAACAACGGGTCTTTCAGTGGAGATGTCTTCCAATGGGTCCTTGGTGAAGCTTGCTTCATTTTGATGCCCTTCAGCAGCTTGTCACTAACTTTAGTCCCATATTTGGTTGCTACTTTATCGTAGGCTGCCCTATTATTTAGATTATAACCCCAATTGCAATCTTTCTTGCTGTGGTGATGTTCCTCCCCTATATTTATTTTTGCTGTTATCACCTTTTCATCTAAGTCCATATATTTTTTCGAAGTATGTGAAGATGACTTCATCTGTCGACTGAATGGTTTCTATGCATAATATCCTCTCCATAATTGTAAAACAGGCCATTGAGGTAATCCTATGTCTAGTCTTGATGCATGAACATCAAATATCTAATTATGCTTAATCCATAGAAGGCATAGGGATACACATACCAGTCCAGAAATGTTCCATTGGTGATTACTTGTAGATACAGGAGAAGCAGTAGTTTACAGGCTGTGGTCGGTTTACTGTTTACTTGTGTGCCAATTAGTAATTTTGTCCTGCTGATGTGTCCACAGAAGCTGATATTGGTGGAGTAATTGTACCTTCTGTTCAGGCAAAATTTTTTGAAGATGGGAAGATGTCGATGTAGGATTTTCAGCCCGTGGTTTTGATGTTTCGATGTCAAGGCCTCTGCTTCTGCCCCCTTTGTTCTTGGCGGGTGGTTATATATTCATTTATGGCTTTTGAGCATATAACCTTGACTTATCCATATTTCTCTTCTTCATAGTTTCAATTTCACCCAAGCTACGATTTGGATGAATACTATGCAAAAATGAAACAAGTATCTCTTTAATCTTTTGTTTCAATTAATTCTTTGGGAAAGAATCTTCGTCGTAAAGTGAGTAATTGAGTCTTCCCTTTAGTGGTGTTGAAACTCAAATCAGGTCCTTTTTGGTAGTTAGACTTCAACATTGTTGTTTCTCCTCCTGCAACTGGGAAATAGAAATCAAAACAAAAAAAGGAATGTAACAGGCGCTGCAACCAAAGAAATTAATTTAACTTCTCTGAAATAAACTAACATCTTTAGCTGTGCACTTATTGCACGTATCATGTCCTTTCTTGTTATTTGTTAGGTTAGTTTTTGTGCAGAAAATTTAATTATCCTCAGATTCTAATTCCATCAGGCCAAGATTTAATATTACCTTTTCATTTGTTAATGTTTTTTCTGGTTTTCACTTTAATAAAATCATTATCTATGATATCTTGACCTTGAATCAATGCTTCTGTGACTTAGTTCTAGCTATTTAAGAGCTGGGGGGGACTTTATGCCCCCAAAACACCTAAAATAGCTTTGACTTATGGCTGGATAGGTTTTGGCTATTCAAATTGAAAGTCCCTGGTAGCACACACCTTGTACTAATTCTAGTTACCGTGATGGTGGTCATTTATTTGGCATCAAGGACATTCAGAGTTTTATCTCTGATGACATTATTTTTAGTTAAGGATGGAAATGGGAATAGCTTTCGACAACTGTGGTGTGTATTAGCCTGTTTGCGTTTACAGGTTTTTAGATGTTATATATTTTTATTATATCTTTTCTGATTTGGTATAATTTTTTGCAGTGATGAAAAACCCTGCCAATCTTGCAAAGCATCAAGCAAATCCCAAGGTGGCTCCCATAATTGCAAAGATGATGGGCAAATTTGCTGGCTCTAAATGAACTGAGTATTGTGGACAGAGTTTGACATGGTTTTTATCCGAGATACAATGTTCACCTTCTATGTGCCATTCCCCCAAATCATGTGTTGGTCCTTCAACCTTTTTGTAACAGTAATCATCGTGGTTGAGTTCCTTGTGTTGTTTTTTAGTTGTACTAAGTACTTTTATTTTCAGGCAAAAGTTATCTGCCTAATAGATTGAAAGAATTGATTGATCTGACTTATATATTTTGTGATAAGGCTCTGTATTGATGGTTAACATTTTCCATCGGCTACTATCCCCGTAATATGCATGCTAGTTGTCATAACCGCTGTTGTGGAAATGCCACCACTGGGAGCAACAGAAGAGGTTTTACAGATTATCGTATAACTCTCATTTTTCATGGGCCTGGAGCTGGAGCTGGGTGTGGATTGGTACCGGTAGGAATGTCCAAGTTTTCAAAGTCGATAGAAAGAGCTACCGAATTCAAAAAGAGTTGGTTAAAGAAAGTAAACCATTGACCACTCGAAATGCTTGATTTCCAGCTTGCTATAGAGTGGATGTACTTGAGCTCTAAAAGTGCAACTTTCATGTGTACTTCAAGAACTTGTTTGGCCCCAGGCTAACCTTTGAGTTAGTTTTGTCAATTTTTGACACGACACGAATTGAACACGAAATTAAATAGGTTATTGAATAAAAATAGGTCAACACATATAAATACGAAATTAGGTCAATTCGATTTTGACCTAATTAATTCATATATTTTAAACAGGTTAATACTCATTTCTTATATGGTTAACACATTTNTTGTCAATTTTTGACACGACACGAATTGAACACGAAATTAAATAGGTTATTGAATAAAAATAGGTTAACACATATAAATACGAAATTAGGTCAATTCGATTTTGACCTGATTAATTCATATATTTTAAACAGGTTAATACTCATTTCTTATATGGTTAACACATTTATCCAAATATATAAAAGCAAAATAATAAAAAAAAACCCTAATCCACTTCCAATTTTTTTCCTTTTTCACTCTCAGCCGCTGCTGGTCATTTTGATTGGAGGAGTAGAGAAGGGCTCACTGTTGAAACCCTCATCTTTCATGCCTTCATCGTTGCTTAATCGAAAATGTTTGGCCTTCTTTCTCTGTGTNCGCTGGTCATTTTGATTGGAGGAGTAGAGAAGGGCTCACTGTTGAAACCCTTATCTTTCATGCCTTCATCGTTGCTTAATCGAAAATGTTTGGCCTTCTTTCTCTGTGTCGTTGTGTTCTCTCTCTCTCTCTCTCTCTCTCTCTCTCTCTCTCTCTTTTTGTGCACTGCGACTCAATCCAAGTGTAGAACAGTCAGATTCGGATTACACCACACAACACTCATACATTCCCTTGGCCACAAGTTGTGTAGTATTTCCCCTTAATTCATTTTTCTCTATTTAACTTTACAAATTGTATCGGAAGTTTGTGTATTTTTTATTTTTTTTGTATTTTGACCAAAAATGTATTGCTTTGTATGTGTGTTATATATTTTGCTTACATATTTTTTGTTTTGGCATCTGTGTTGGGAACAGATGAATTCACTTCCATTGAATGACGAACACATTGATGGACCTGCCTCTGTAGCTGATGATGTTGCCATGGCTGAATCAAATCGTGCTTCTGATATTTAAGATGGGCTGAAACTGGATGGTGTTGGCAAACTAACAAATAAACGTCAACGAAGGTTAACCTCAAATGTATGGAGCAACTATACTTTTCTTGAAGAACCAAGTCCAGAAGGATTGCTTTGATATGAATGTAAGAATGTAAGCAAGTTTATAATATGAATAGTAAGCACAGCACTGGAAATTTCAAGCGACACACTGCACCTTGTTTGAAGCGAGAGAGTGTGTGTAATCAACAACATCATATCATGAATTGGATCAAAGCTATACTTACGATTGCTTCAGAGTTTGCATTTAGCACCAGTGGTAGGGTTCTTCGTAGTTCTATGAAGCTGGAAGTTGTTGAGGCTTTGATATGCACAAAAAGATTGGTTGTTTGGAGAAAGAGGTAAATATAAGTTATGTGATTGCTTTAGAATTCATGTTTTAAATAATGAAATCTTAATTCTTATGCATGTATATATTTGTTTCGTTTAGATCCTACACAAGATGCTTCTACTATGATTGATGATGATCATTGATTGAAGGTACAATGTTATTTTCAGTGTTCAATATATTAGTTTGTGTTTGTCTTATTTTGCTTTTCTGATTTCTTCTTTTGATTAGGATCCGTGAAGTGTCAAAGTTTTGTGTGCACCGTGCCTCGCTAGAGGAGCAACAACTGCTTATTTTGTTTTAGTTTCATGTAGCATGTCAATAGCAAGTCATTTTTTAGAATATGATCTCAAAAATAACTTGTTATTGCTTTTGCTTATTTGCTACTTCTTTTGTTTTATTATGCCAGTATATTTTGTATATTGTATGAATGACTGATATGGACCTTGTGGTCTTAACATAATAGAAGTATATTATTATAGTTTTGGTTTTAATTTTTGGTTGAAACTTGAATGCATTTTAGTTGAATAGGTTAAATAGGTGCAAGATCAGATTTGAGGAATTTGAGATGTAGTAGGATCAAAGATGCAATCCAACTGAAGGTTTTCCAGCTATTAAAATTCTAATGCATGATTTTACATGTAAATTTCTAAAAGCAGAAACAAGAAAGTATGGTATTCTGAAAGTAGAAACAAGAAAGCATGGTTTTCCAACTATTTGAGAATCTAGCAGTCTAGCTGAAGCAGTTGAATAGAGTCCAGTTAAAGCAGAGCAGCTCAAAAAACAGGTAGTGCACCTAAATTGTCATTTCGTTCAGCGCTTTGAGAGGACAACATCACTACATGCATACAAGGTTTCTCTTTAAACCAATGGGGTCTATCATGTTTGTTGCCCCTGAATGATGTGTGTGGGAAAAGAAAGGAGATGAGAGGGATGGGGGAATGTGGATAGACTCTTGTGTTTAGAATGGTCTTGTTTAGTTGTCCTTTTTTTTTTTTGGGAGGGGAGAGAGGGGGAGGGGAGACTTGAACCCTTGACTTCAAGAAGACAAAATTTTCACAAGATAAAGAATAACATTGGACCAAAGGCCCGTTGGTAATTAGAAAACAATGGCATCAAATAATAAGCAGAGTTCATCTTGTTTAGTTGTCCTAGCTATCGACACACTAGTCTTAATGCATAAGGCTCAATTTCTTTTGAATTATTCAACATTACTAATTTCTTTTCTTCTCTTTTGTGAAGGAAACTTAGTCAATCAAGTGTCCTAGGGAACTTCTACCTCAAGCAATAACACTTGAGTTTGTTGTTTGACAATGAGCATGTCACCACAAGCCTGCTTGAAGTTCCGTCTGAAGAAAGAGTGAGAGGAGAACTCTGATATGTTAGTTAATTGTGCAGACATTGAAAGCTTGTAGCCTGCTTGTAGCTGTCTACTGGTCTTGCTGGAGCAGATTTGGAGCTGGAATGATTGTGCAGGCATTCAAAGTGGCTATTTTTAGTGCCCATAGAAGAAATTTTTGAATTATTTTTTTTCATGTTTTGAAGGATTAAAGTCATTTAATTGGAAATTGATGTNTCTTGCTGGAGCAGATTTGGAGCTGGAATGATTGTGCAGGCATTCAAAGTGGCTATTTTTAGTGCCCATAGAAGAAATTTCTGAATTATTTTTTTTCATGTTTTGAAGGATTAAAGTCATTTAATTGGAAATTGATGTTAGGAATTGATTTCCTTTTGCTTCTTATAATTCTTTGAATTTTATTCAATAAATTATTTTGATTTTTTTTTAAAGGTGTTAAACTGATAGAATTTAATATTTAATATGTGGGTAATAAGTTAATATGTCGTGTAATGTGTTAACTCGAAAATGATCTGTTTATTAAACGTGTCAAACATGTCAGGTTCGGGTAACACATTTAATGGTCAGATCAGGTTAGTGTTTACACATCTCGACACGATTATTAAACATGTCAAGTTAGTATTTAAAAATTTTTGACATAAATACAAAACAAATCTGACACAAAATGACCTAACTCGACCAAGGGAGCAACAAAGGTGGACCCTTGGCTTGAAAGGTTAGTAAGTCATAATCCCGAATAGCTTCTGCTGACTTTCATGTATGGTCCTTGTTCCCATTGGATTAGGAATATGTAACTGCTTTCATCATTACGGGTACAGTTTCCTATCATATTTTCATAGAATAGCTGAGGCTGCGCACAATTAGAGAGAAGATTATTGGTGCAAAGCTTAGCGAAAGTTCAACAAAGGTGTTGGTTTAGTTCACCAAAGAAATTATAATAAGAATCCGACAATTTTCAATGTACTTTACCAGCTTATCTTGAACTATGGAGGAATACAGCTCCAAGTCCACATCCACCTCTCCTATTTCCTCACCAACCTCCACCTTCATGTGTCTCTTCCTACAAACGTGACAATGTCTTAAAGAATTTCATATTTTTGGATTTACATCGTTTTAAATATACTCTCAATTTTCATCAATACTAAATTAGTACCATTGGACTTACCATCCATATATAATTTTTTATATATATCTGTAGATCATAATAATAATCGAGAATAAATTTTTACAAGTATTGGATAATATATCTATGATAGAGTACAGAGCAGTCGCATCGGTGAAGAGAAGTATGAGAAAGAGGGCGTAATAGAGTCTCTAAAGAGAAGAAATACAAGAAATCTTGGTTTTGACAATGATTAATCCCTTGATTGAAAAAACATTTAAAAAAAAAAAACTAAGGGTNCAGAGCAGTCGCATCGGTGAAGAGAAGTATGAGAAAGAGGGCGTAATAGAGTCTCTAAATAGAAGAAATACAAGAAATCTTGGTTTTGACAATGATTAATCCCTTGATTGAAAAAACATTTAAAAAAAAAAAACTAAGGGTGCGCCATAACACTATACCGAGTTGATTCATTAACGTATAATTAATGATCTATTTGTTCCGAATAACTCAGATATCAATGATCTATTTAGATCCTATTGTATCTTTAATATTATCATTGCTACAACTTTAGAATTGATCATCCAAGTGTAAGTTGTGCAAAATAATAAATTTTTCGGGAGTCCGAGATCGAACCGCAGGAAATTGAAAAAAACTTAGAACACAAAAAAAAATAAAAGAAAATTATTTAAAAAAAATTGTTTTAGAGATTTTTGAAATTATAAAACAATAAATTTNCACAACTTTAGAATTGATCATCCAAGTGTAAGTTGTGCAAAATAATAAATTTTTCGAGAGTCCGAGATCGAACCGCAGGAAATTGAAAAAAACTTAGAACACAAAAAAAAATAAAAAAAAATTATTTAAAAAAAATTGTTTTAGAGATTTTTGAAATTATAAAACAATAAATTTAATTTTAAAATAATAATTAAAAATACTAGAAAGTCAGGTACTCCCGCTCAAATCTATACAATAATTGATAAAAAAACTTTGTTCTTAAACCTAGACAAGAATCAAAATGTCGATTGAAAATCACCGAATTTAGC